GGGGGGGTAATTCACAAAAATTCTCTATGTAGAAGCTCCCAACTTAAAGTCAATTTGGCAAAATCATAAGATGCAATACCTCCCAAAACCATCATACATAATTGTTCTATTTTTAAAGGAAAGAAATGTTTCCAGTTCTGCAGCAACAGACACGGTGTGCTCACAGTTGCAATATTGACTGTGTTTGTAATTCTGACTACGACCATGAGTGCATATGCCGCTGACAGTTTTGATACACTATCAAAGAATATTTCATGTGGCCTGCCTGTAAGGTGCTGTTTGATTGAGGGTACAGACAAATTGCGTGATTTTTCTTTCAGAAACCTGGAGTTTTTTTCTTGTCCGTTCCTATAAGCGCTCAGAGTCTGTGTACTTTATTCGGGGTTGAGCGCTATATAAATGTCATTTATTACTATCATTATTATTATTATTTTCTAAGCTGGTTTCTGGTGAGGCCACATCCTCATTGCAGACGTCTTTTTTATTTTAGCAAAGCCCAACCCTTTTTCGTTTTTTCGTCTCTCCCTTCTTGAGTTCTTCACAGAATATGAGGCGTCTTGGTAAAATAGGTACCCAACAGTTAAATGCTAACACATGAACAATTATTGTTATTCGAGTGCTGTTTTACATTTCTATGCTCAAAATTGTTATAAACAGAAACATCATCATCTGTGGCAAAGTTTGAGATGAGATCGTGTTCGTGAGGTCTTAAAAATCGTGTTTTCATTGGGGAATTGTTGGAAGAGGCAGGAAGAAAAAAATAAAAAGAAAGTCAAGCTCAATTTTGATTTAGTAAGGACAATTGTGATTGGGTTTGTTTTAGGTTAAAAAAAATAATTTTTTGAACCAAAAAAACAAAGGAGGGGGGAAGGTTGATTTTACATTCATTCACCAGTTTCTTGACGTAGTCAATTTTATCTTATTTTATTTTTATGTAGTCAAAAGACGTCTGGTATTCAGTTGGAACACATCAATGACTGACTCCTTATTAAGCAACAAATAAATACATAGCTGTTTGGATTGTACGATTAGCAACAAGTCACTAGGTTTTGCTTGCCTTTTCAAGGTGTGGTAAGGAGTAAATGTTACTATTATAAGTCTGATTTCCCTGAAAATCGAGCAGCTCAATGAAATACTGACTAATTTGATATTTGCAGTGCAAGCAGCTGATCACCAAATATGGCCATCTTATGTTCGAGATTGTCATCGCTGAACTGGTAAGTTGTCGTTGCCACGCAGTAAAGCCTCATTAATCCTATCAATCTCATAGTAAGCACCATTAGAAAAACTTGCATATTAATAGATAGAAAAAAATACAGACAGACAAGTGGCAGTCAAGCAGATAGATAGATAGATAGATAGATAGATAGATAGATAGATAGATAGATAGATAGATAGATAGATAGATAGATAGATAGATAGATAGATAGATAGATAGATGGAAGGGTGGATGGATGGATGGATGGATGGATGGATGGATGGATGGATGGATGGATGGATGGATGGATGGATGGATGAATGGATGGATGGATGGATGAATGTGCGGATGAACGGATAGATAGATGGATAGAGTTGTTGTTTTTTAATGAGTGCCCAGTTTGTAGACCCTTGATCTATTGCTTCTGTTCGAGCTATTTGAGCAGCCAATGCGTTTAGCTACACCTGTATCTAAGTTCTTGGCACATCATCAGACACGGACGTTCGCCGGAGACCATTCTGTGAGTCCAGGACTCAACTTCGCTGGTTGTAAGAATGCCTGGTTTTGACATCCCAAGGCAGTAGTCTATTCTTAGCTGTCATTGGGACTGTGCTAAGTTGGTGCACCAAAATTAGCGCACAAAGAGACTGTGAAAATGTCCCTGAAGTGCTTTAACGTTAAGCCCTGACCTCTTGAGGCTACCGCCGTGCACCTCTGCAATAGCTCCTGAGCGATATAATATTAATTATTATTACTGACATTCATGTGAGCTTCAGAATCACTTTCTAGATCCCACTCAAGGCAATCCTTGTCATTACCAGCGTCCTATTCAGAAAGATCTTCAAAATAGTGAATAAAGCCTCGTGTAATAAACGCTGTTTTCCATACGCGTTCTGTCTGAGGCGGACAGGGATGGCGAAGGGGTCTCGATCACAGGACGTGTTCCGGTGGTTTGACATACGGGCAATTTTACGCGTAAGCCGGTGTACCTCTCTGTGGCAAGGGCTCAAAAGGTTAATCACACTGACCTAAAATATATCTTTTTAGGTCAGTGGTTTATCCCTCAACATAGGAGAGCCTAGCTCCTGACAGACTCACCTAGAGAGCACACTTTTGATTGAAATCCATGTGTCGTTCCGCAGGACGAGGAATTTATCTGCGAAACTGTCCAAATGTGTCCCGAGACAGGAAAGGGCCGCAAACCGTCCCCCTTCGTCACGAAGGCTGAAGAAGTTTTGGAATCCTTGAGGACTCAGTGGAACGACGTGAAGTTTCAAATACCCAAGAAGAAGGCCAACCTACGTAATCTGGAATGTAGCTCATGTGAATTCTTCGTGAGTGAGTTTATCAGGATGCTGCATGATCCTCAAACCCAGGTAAGTGGGTGGTTGGCGGATGCTCTGATCTGGATTGCTTCCTTTTTCCCGATCAAGGATCAATCATTATCTCTCCTCCTTCTTTCTTGGTATTTGTTACTCTCTTGAAACAACTCTAATCTTCGACGCTTGTACGACCTTACAAAGTTCAAGTGCTGGAAAACTCTTACACCGTACTGGACACTTCAAAAAGAACATTCTTTTTGTATGGCTTTTTATTGGAAAAGGAGGGGGGGCTGTTTAGGTAGGGGGAGATTAAGTTAGTATGGGCCCTATTGTTCAGCCATTTTT